AACTTTCATGGGCCAGTTGGGTAGGAGTTGTGTCAGACCCATGGGTTTTGTCAAAGTAGTCCACAGGTACCGGCAGCATTTTCAGTATACACACAAAACTAGTGATGCAGTCCATCAGAGTGGTTCACATCTCTCGATATAAAGGATGCATATTTCCACTCTCCGATTTGTCTCAAATAACAGACCCTTCCTCCGCTTTGCCTTCCACGGCCGTGTGTTCAGGTTCTGCCATTCGGCCTGTTACTGGCACCAAGTATCATTACTTGGGTCGTGTCGGCTGGCCTCGTCACCCTTCAGTTAAAGGGCCTCAAGATCCTGCCATGTCTAGACGATTGTCTGTGCTCCCTCCCTAGAACAGGTGGTTTAGGACACATTGACAGTGCTGGCTCATGTCCAGTCCCTGGGGTTCACGGTGAACTGAAAGAAGAGGGCAGACAGTTTGAGGTAAGCAATAAGTTGTTTTCAACTGGGGAAGATAGTGACTGCTCACAGGGTTCAGAAACTGGTGGGATTGATAGCAGCAGCAATATTAGTGGTGATTCCATTGGGCCTGCTGAGGGCATGTCCCATGCAGGGGTGGTTCAATTCTTTTCATCTACATCTGAAGTAAGACAGGAGGATGAGGCTACGTGTGACGCAGTACTGCATGCGAGCCCTATGCCCCCGGAGACACAGAGATTTCCTTTTCAGGGGAAACCCATTGCGGAACCTTCCTCACAGAAGACAAGTGATCACAACAGATGCCTCACTGACAGGCTGGGGAGCCGTGTGGGAGGGCAGGACAATGAGGGGCATGTGGGAACCCCCTTGGTCATCAGAACACATAAATGTACTCAAAATGTGGGCTGTTCATCTGGCCTTCAAGGGTTTTCTGCCATATCTGCAACACAAGCATGTACTGGTGAGGACGGACGAAACCTCTGCAGTGTACCATGTAAATCATCAAGGTGGAACAAAGTCACTGTGCTGTCTTCAAGTAGCAGAGAAGCCACTGACATGGGCGTGGCCTCACCTAGCCTCTCTAAGGACAATCCACATCCCAAGCGTTGGAAACAAGACGGCCGACATTTTGTCCAGGACAGGGCCTCTCCCAGGAGAGTGGCGGTTACACCCAGAGGTGGTGGCACAAATTTGGGCTTCATACGGGGTGGCCCAGGTCGATCTTTTTGCATTCCCAGAGACGACCCATTGCCTGGAATGGTACTCCCTCAGGGATCAAGGGGGCAATTTGGGCATATAAGCTCTGTCACAAGAGTGGCCAAAAGGCTTGTTGTATGCTTTTCCCCCTCTCCCTCTCATTCCTCAAGTTCTTCAGAGGGTCAGAGAGGGTCATTATACGTGGCTCCATGCTGGCCAGGGCGGCCTTGGTTTGCGGACCCGATTCAGCTATTACAGTGTCACCCGTGGCAACTGCCATCCTGGGCAGATCTTCTGTCACAGATAGACAGGCAAATTTGGCATCCGAACCCAACTGCCCTCCGGCTGTGGGAATGGCCTCTGGGAAGTCCATCTCTCAAAAGCTAGACGGGGCTGTCCGTGAGACATTGAACAATGCCAGGCCCCCTTATACATGGGCTTATTACTCCCTGAGGTGGAGAATCTTTCCAGACTGGTGTTTTTGCCTGGATGTTGACCCTGTAGTTTGTCCTGTGCCACTTGTCCTTCGCTTTCTACAGTCTCAGCTGGACCAAGGCAAGGCAGCCAGTACAGTTAGGGTTTATGCTCATGCCATTTCAGCTTTCATGGGGGGATCGATGGCTTGTGACTGAGTCGGCATCCCTTGGTGTGTCAGTTTTCTGAAGGCTGCTCAGCGTTTGTGTCCAGTACGTAGCCTGCGAGCACCAAGCTGGGACTTGCCTCTGGTATTGAAGTCTCTCAAGAGGGCACCATATGAGCCTATTGATGATGCAGACTTGTATCATGATATAGCCTTAAAATTTCGCGATATTACTTATAAGCTGCATCACCCAATCCTAATGACATTCTGCGAAAACAATGCAGCAAACAGAGATTAGATTTAATGTTTACTCAGTTTAACTCATAAGAAATGTTCTGGAGTAGGGATGCCATGACTAACCTCACTGGCCAATCACAATAGGCTTTGTAATCATCCCTCACCAGACCCAACCAGACCATACTCCTGCCAAGCACAGACCCAGCCTTGTTAACCAGCTTGTCCAGTCTCCTTGTGTTCATGTTGGACATGCTGCTGCCCCAGAAGACTGCAGCATAAAAAAGTACACTGGCCACCACTGATAAAACGTGCAACATTTCACTGCAGACGTCAAAGGACCTGAGCCTCCTGAGGAAAAAGAGCCGGCTCTGCACCTTCCTGTAGATGGCATCCGTGTTCAGGGACCAGTCCAGTCTACTGTCCAGGTGCACACTTAGGTATTTATAAGTGTGCACCACCTCAATGTCCTTCCCTCAAATGTTAACTGGCTGAAGGGTGAGCCTAGACCTCCGAAAGTCAATGGCCATCTCATTGGTCTTGAAGGTGTTCAGAAGGAGGCAGTTCTTGTCGCTCCATTCACTGAAGGCCATTGTCAGATCCCTGTACTCCTCTTCCTGTCCATTCCTGATACGCACCACAATAGGTGTGTCATCCGAGTATTTCTGGATGTGGCAAGACTCAGAGTTGTATTTAATTTTTTAAAGATTCCCGAATAGGAATTATTGGACTCCATCAAAAATGTCAAGGTTGGCTCTTGGGAACGATGATAAATATAGAAGATGCAACAAAATCAGGGCATACTGTCTTATTTGCTATACAAATGTGAAATGGTGCATAACATCCGGTTAGACATAGTTAATTGTATTAATAACATACTAGAGACAGATCTCAGTGTGAATCCAAAATTATGCATATTGGGTATTTTGCCAATGAGAGTTAATCTGCCCTCAAAGGTGTGTTCCTGGGTGAAACTGGCCTTAATAACAGGAAGCAGGGGCACCTCAGTGGCTCACTTGCTAGAGAGCGCACCATTGGGGCTCGGCCCTTGCAGCGGTGCCCTGGGTTGGAGTCAAAAGCATGGCCCTTTGGTGTGTGTCATCCTCTCTCTCTCTCTCCCCAACTTTCCTGTGTCTCTCTCACTGCTACTATAATAAAGGCATAAAAAGCCTGAAAAAATTACTTAAAAAAAATAAAAAAACATGAAGCAGAATAGTGTTAAGACAATGGAAGTCAAAAGAGCGTATCAGTGAATGAATGAATGAATGTTTGTATACTGAAAAAAAACAATAAAGAGGTTTAATTACTAAAAAAGAGATGAGCTTAACCATGGATGTGAAAAACAGATGTTCATCACATTATCATGTCATTATATGTATTGGCTGTATTTTTATTACAAATTGTCTGATTTTATTCTAACACATTTTATATTTTCTCTTATCACAGACTTGCTGACTGTGGACTCTCAGAGACTCACTGTGAAGTTGTGGCCTCAGCTCTGAAGTCCAGTCCCTCCCATCTGATAGACCTGGACCTGAGTGTAAACAACCTGAAGAATTCAGGAGTTAAGATTCTTTCTGCTGGACTGGAGAGTCCAAACTGTAGATTGGAGACTCTGAGGTCAGTTCACTGACTGGAGCTGTTGTAGTTTTTGTATATATTCAATTGAAATCTGAAGAAGTTTCAGTCTGTCATTGGTTGGTACATTATCAGGATTTCTGTGTGAGGATTTTGAAAAATCATTCAGTGAAGAGAAAGGACTCTATGATGTAATAACTACCAAAAGAAGGAAAGTGAGAGCAGTCATAGTGTTTGTGAACCAGAGCAGCAGAGAATTGACATATTTTGATCTTGAAATTAGAAAGTTGATGAGAATCAAACATTCTCAAAGATCTTCTGCTTCTTCTGATTTGAACATGACCAAAGCTGCAGCTCTCTTCAACCAACACATATTGAAGCTATTGTTCTGTTCATGTCTGCACTGCAGAATCATCTGAAGAAACCGACCTTCAGACTGCAACACAAACCAAATTAAAGCAGGGCCAGTGGCTGAGTTGGGAAAGTGTAGAGAAGAGGAAACTCAGCTGGGACATGGAAGCATGTATATATGTACATGCACTCACTTTATTAGGTACACCTGTTCAACTGCTCATTAAATATCTAATAGGCCAATCACATGGCAGCAACTCAGTGCATTTAGGCATGCAGACATGATCAAGACAATCTGCTGAAGTCCAAATCGAGCATCAGAATGGGGAAGAAAGGTGATTTAAGTGACTTTGAACATGGCATGGTTGTTGGTGCCAGTTGGGCTGGTCTGAGTATTTCAGAAACTGCTGATCTACTGGGATTTTCACAAACAACCATCTCTAGGGTTTACAGAGAATGGTCCGAAAAAGAGAGTCAGCGGCAGTTCTCTGAGCGAAAAGGCCTTGTTGGTGCCAGAGGTGGGAGGAAAATGGTCAGACTGGTTGGGGCTGATAGAAAGGCAACAGTAACTCAAATAACCACTCGTTACAACCGAGGTATGCAGAAGAGCACACGAGAACACGTGGAACCTTGAAGCAGATGGGCTACAGCAGCAGAAGACCACACCGGGTGCCACTCTTGTCAGCTAAGAACAGGAAACTGAGGCTACAATTTGCCCGGGCTCCCCAAAATCAGACAATTGAAGATTGGAAAAACGTTGCCTGGTCTGATGAGTCTCGATAGAGACATTCGGATGGCGAATTTGGTGTAAACAACATGAAAGCATGGATCCATCCTGCCTTGTATCAACAGTTCAGACTGGTGGTGGTGGTGTAATGGTGTGGAGAATATGTTCTTGGCACATTTTGGGCCCCTTAGTACCAATTGAACATTGTTTAAACGCTACAGCCTACCTGAGTATTTTTGCTGACCATGTCCATCCCTTTAGAACCACAGTGTACCAATCTTCTGATTGCTCCTTCCAGCAGGATAAGGCGCAATGTCACAAAGCTCAAATCATCTCAAACTGGTTTCTTGAACATGACAGTGAGTTCACTATGCAGAGTATGATCAGTTGAAAGTCGCCATCTTGAAGGAACAGAGATGGGATAGGCGCAGACAGCAAGTGGAGTAATACAGTATATGATGCAGGCAGCAGATCAGCCAGAACAGGAACCTGAGGCTCCAGAGCCACTTGTCAATGTTTTCCCCAGTGACCTTGCAAAGCAGCAACATGACGATCCCACTCTTTCAGACTGTTTCCGTGAGGCACATAAAAACTCCACTATCAGCTTCCTTAATTAGTACTTTTTAATTGACAATGACGTTTTGTACAGGCAGAGTGACTATGACAGGCAGTTAGTCCTTCCCCAGGTGTGCAGAGAAGAAGTGCTGAAGGTAGGCCACACCATTCCCTGGGCAGGTCACCTAAGTTTCATGAAAACCTTTAGGAGGATTTCCAAGAGGTTTTTCTGACCAGGCATGTATAGTCAGGTGAAGGACTATTGTACAACATGCCCAGAATGTCAGCTCACAGGCAGATGTACAGCCACAGTGCCCCTCATATCACTCCCAGTCATCAGCACCCCCTTTGAGTGGATTGGTGTAGATGTAGTTGGCCCAGTTAAGAGCAGCCAGGCAGGAAATAAGTTCATTCTGGTTGTCTGTGACTATGCTACCAGATATCTGGAGGCCTTCCCTTTGAGAGAAGTGACAGCTAAGCAGGTAGCAGGAGCATTGCTTAAGTTCTTCTCTCAGGTAGGAATTCCTAGGGAGGTGCTGACAGACCACGGGCCCAACTTCATGAGTTGCACACTCACACAGGTCTACGAGCTGTTGGGGATTAGAAGAATAAGAACGACCCCCTATCATCCTCAGATGGACGGCTTGGTTGAGCGCTTCAACCAGACTCTGAAAGCCATGCTCCGGAAGTTTGTTTCAGAGACAGGGAAAGACTGGGACAAATGGTTGCCATATCTGTTGTTTGCTTACCGGGAGGTCCCGCAGGCCTCCACAGGGTTTTCACCTTTCGAGCTGCTTAATGCCCACCAGGTCAGAGGTCCCTTGGATGTGCTGTGTGAGACGTAGGAGGAGTCTGGCAAGGCAGAGGACATGAACGTCATTTCCTATGTCCTGAAAATGCGGGAGCAGCTGATGAAAACCACAAACATGACCAGGGAAAACCTCCTCCAGTCCCAGGTCAGCGAGGCATAGATGTTTTGAGCCGGGTGAGGACGTTCTGTTGCTTTTGCCAACATCAGAGCACAAATTGTTGACAAAGTGGCAGGGCCCCTACCAGATCAAGCAGAAGATGGGTCCTGTAACATACCAGATCCACATGCCTTACGGGAAACAGCCTAACCAGACCATCCACATTAATATACTCAAGAAGTGGCACCCTTGTCCCGCCTCCACACCACCAGCAGCTCAAACACTTTTTTATCATGGTAGTGAGGGAGGAAGAGTAGCCAGAAGAGCAGTACTTGCCTGGACCAGAGCCGGAGACGCAACTGGACCTGAACCACCTGCCTGAGGAGAAGAGGGGGGAGCTTCTTCACCTCTCCACCTTTTCCTGGATACCCCTGGGTCTACAGGGTTCCAGAGCGCCTATTGCCAGTACTGAAGAAGGAGGTGGAAGTGATGAGGGAGATGGGGGTTATAGAATCTTCATCCAGTGAATGGAGCAGCCCGATCATCTTAGGTCCCAAAAAGGATGGCACCTTGAGGTTCTGTTTGGACTTCAGGAAAGTGAATGGAGTAAGTAAGCTCGACTTGTATCCGATGCCAAGAATTGATGACCTGGTGGAAAGAATTGGGGGTGTACGGTAAAACAGCACCCTTGACCTGTGCAAAGGCTATTGGCAGGTTCCCCTTACCCCAGAAAGCAGAGAGATCACTGCCTTCAGAACCCCTTTTGGCCACTTTCAGTTCACTGTCCTCCCTTTCGGCCTCCATGGAGCACCAGCTACATTCCACCTGCTGATGGACAAGGTCTTTGCAGGAAAAGAGTCCTTTGCAGCAGCATACCTGGATGACATCGTGGTCTACAGCAGCTGCTGGGAAGACCACCTTCGTCACCTCCAAGACGTTTTGCTCAGGATCAAGGGGGCCAGACTCACCGTTCTTCCAGATAAGTGCTCTGTGGCCAAGATTGAGACTCAGTACTTGGGTTTTGTGCTGGGGAACGGGGTGCTGTGTCTGGAAGTGGGGAAAGTGGAAACCATCAAGAATGCAGAGAGGCCTACTACGAAGTCCCAGGTGAGGTCTTTCCTTGGTCTCGTGGGGTGGTATGGCCGTTTCATTTAGCATTTTCAACCCTGGCAGTCCCCCTTACCAACCTCACCAGGAAGAACCAGCCTGACAAGGTTCAGTGGACAGGAGAATGTGAAGAGGCCTTCCAGAGTTTGAAGGGGTTGCTATGCACTGAACCCATCCTGAAGAGCGCAGACTTTGAAAAGCCTTTCACTGTCCAGATCGATGCATCTGATGTGGGCATTGGAGCAGCGTTGCTACAGGGGGAACCAGGCAGCCTCCAACCCACTGCATACATCAGCAGGAAGCTTCTGAAGCATGAAGTATGGTATTCAGTGGTTGAGAAGGAGTGTCTGGCCATCAAGTGGGCGCTAGACTCATTGAAGCACTAACTACTGGGGAGGAAGTTCCCCCTTGAAACGGATGATCATGCCTTGACCTGGTTGGCAAACGTGAAGGACACCAACGCCAGGATCACCAGGTGGTTCCTCGCACTGCAGCCTTTTGACTTCATGGTCCAGAACAGGAAGGGCCATGAGAACTGTGCTGCAGACTTCCCAGAAATCCATGTAAAACATCATGTTATATTTAATTGTAAATTGTATGAATCTTAAGTCTAAAAGTTAAATGTTAAATCTAGATATTAAATGTAAATCTAAATGTTAAATCTAAATCTACATGTTAAATCTACATCTCCATGCAAATTTACAAATGAGAGGAAAATGAGCAAAATGTCAGGAAAGTGAGCTAAATATTCAAAATATAGCAGCTGACCAAATTTTTACATTCGACACCCCATCCAGCTGGTTGGTTTGGAGGATTTCCAAGATGAGGTGAATGTTGTTTGGTTCATGGAGGTTCAGGCAGTCTGCTGATTGGCTTAGTACACTGTTACTGCACTAATTAACATGCTAATTATCTTAGCAGGCTAGGTAATGCTTTGTGCTGTTTTTACTTGTGCACCTGCACAGGTAAAAACAGCACATTGAAAATAATATTAACTATACGTTCTCATTCAGTGAATATGAGCTAAATAAACCTCTGATGTTTTACAGTAGGAGGCTCTGAACTCTACTTGATGGTGAACTGGTTGTTGCTGTAGGTCACAGAATCTGCTGTAACACCGGTGGTAGATTGACGCCGAGCCCTTTAGTCCAACATGTCTGTTGTACTGAGGTCAGCAGCATGTGATGAATCTGTGTTGACATGAAGAGGTGTATGAATGTTGTGTTGACATTTGAATGATGACTGTAGATGGCTGACATTATGATGATCCACAATAACAGAAGGACAAAGTCCCTCTATTCATTTTAGACTAAGACCGATTATTAGGACATATCTGATTGATTATCAATGATTTTATCTACATCTTTTATTCATAATTCAGATTAGAGGGCTGC